CCTTTCATGAGATAGTGAAGGTGCAACAGAAGCCAAATACATTTTTTTAAAGGAGTATCTGCAAACCTAAACACAGGGGGGACTCTACCTCTAACTAGCATCAGAGCCAAACTGGTGAAGGTCAAAAGAGCTCCAAAACTCCTCAGGAAGGAATTAAAGTAATTTTACTTTACTTGTTTGATTACTTAGGTGTTTAAACTGAAATACTTGTCTTGGCTCTCTTTACAGTAAATGGAGGAAGCAAGGCAACCTCAGAAGGAACTTGCAAAAAAAGCTAAAAGGTCAGCTGCTGGAAGTACCTGTCCAATGATTACACAGGTGCTTAAATGATGGTTTCCTTTAAAGTTATAACTTATGGGCAGCAAGAACTTGGTTAATAGATCTTGCCCATTATGTCTCCTTTCACAACTGGTGCTTTCTGATCTGCTTAAGGGAGGGTTGGCTGCTGCAGGATCTGACCCAGCTCTTAACACCATGGGAGTCTGTAGGAAGTGCTGGGTGAGATTCAGACTGAGGTAAATCCATGCCTGAGTGACTGCAGCTCCCTAATGTAAAAAGAGAATCTTGGTCATTATTCCTTTTGGGAGTGATACACAGCCTGTTACAAACTGACAAAGCCAATGCACATTTCTAATGCAGTCTCAAAAGCAGATCATTATGTATATCATTTTGTATAAACATAGTCATCAAGGGAATTCAGAATAGATTTATACCAACATTTTAATAAGTTTCATAAGAAAGAGGTTCATAAAATAAAAATAATGAATGATGGAATTAAAAAACCACTGAAAATTGCTAATGTGTTTAATCATCTCAACATCTATATTTATATACGACAAATTTGGATGATATAGTGGGTGTAATTCCATTTCAAGTCTCTGAGCAGGGATTGCATTTCAAGTTACTCAACAAAAGCAAAGCCAGTGCTTGCCTTGTCTGCAGGCAGATAGAAAGTAGGATTGTGTGATCATTTGTGTGAAGGCACTCAAAAACCTCTCTGACATCCAGAAATTCAGTTAATCAATGAGGAAGAGTAATGGGTGAGCCAAAGAAAAAATGAGACCAGGGCTACATAGAAAATAAAGGGAATACACAAAAAAGGTGTAAGGTGTAATAAACCCTGACATTTTCCTATGACCTAGAACCACACTTAAGTGTCCTACCCATTAAACTAGTCAGTTAGCTGTGCTCACAAGTGCCAGATGCAGCAGCACATGCACGAAGGACCCAGGCAAATATTGTTAACTCAATCTGTGGTTTAATCCTGAAAACCTCAGCTCAGTGGCCTCACAGCACTAAGGGTTTCTAAGGAGAAAAACAAATCATCATTTCTGACCTTTTGTGTTGACTGCATGATTAGCATTCTTTTTACTTTTGCTTTAACTGACAGTAGCTCATCTCTCCATTGTAAGCAGGACTACTCTACCTTGAAAAGAAACAAAGATACCAGGGAAAGGACGTGGAAGATGCATTTGCCAAGAGTATCACTTTGCATATTGGCACTAGCTCCGTCTCTGGGTCCCCAGGCCTGTGTGAGGTCTTAACTCACACCATCTACCTCCAAATCACTTTCCTGATTACAATTGCATTTTTTTCAGACAAGCATACCTGCAGACACAGTAGTCCAGATGAACTGCTAAAACTCTGATTTGGCAATCATGAACAAAAACTTCCAACAGGAAAAGATTTCCAGAAGTAACAAAATGACATTTCTAAGGAAACATGGCTGTTCTGGGAGATTCAGCCCTAAGGCCTCCATCACCTCTTCGGGTGATGGTCCTCTTCTGCCCTGTCACACCACCAAGCTAACGTCACTCCCCACTCTAAGCAGATCACCCTTGCTCCCAGCCACAGGAGGAGAGCGGCTGGTTCCAGAACCTCCAACAAAACTTTTGCCTGATCTGCCCAAAAAACCTAGAAGGGGTGAGCAAAGGTAAGAAAATCTGCAAATAGAAATCCTGAGCACAGAACCTGGACATGTCAAAAGCAACAAGGCTGTATGATGGCCCTATTTATAACTGACCATATGGCAGTTGATTTCCTGTTGTTCACACAGGGCATCTACGTGACTCCAGCCTTTGTGCTTCTTCCCACCTCACTCTTCTGCCAGGTTTATTTATACTTTTCCCCAGCTCTGAAGGCAAATCAAGTTAATTGGCTATTACATGAGATTAAGCAAAATAACTAAAAGAATAAAGAAAGGGAGAATATAATGCTCTGATTGCTCTCCATGGGAGCTGTGAAACAACATGATAGTTATTCCTTCACAGAGCAAGGAAGGCCCTATATTTTCTGATGTATGCAGGACTGAACAGCAATGCAGGTTTATACCTATGTCACCATTCAAATGCTCATTCTTACCCAAAGTTTCACATAACTTTCCTTTAAAACCGACATCTCCATTTGAGACACACTTAGCACCCCCAAAACTAAAGAATCATCTTAAATGCCTGACGATTTTGCAACTGCATGAAGAAAGAAATAACAAATTAAATTATTTTTTTATTGAGCACTGCACAATATTAGTCCATTTGGAATAGAGATAAGGAACAAAAGAGCCAAAAAGACCTTTCCAGTCAATGATCTAAGATGAAGAGTTGCCTGGGGGAAAGAGACAAATTTGGAGTGTAGGAAATGAAAAACAATTAGAAGAATTAAAATAATTGTATTTTCCATGAGGGGAAAATAGAGATATGGGATAAATTACTAAGATGGGTTTCTAGAACAAACAGTGCAGCATTCAAAATGGTAATAATGGAGTTTCAAGTAGAGCTATGAGAAAACCTGCTTAGTGAGCATAAGCCCAACTTTAAAAAAAAAAATTATAATCACAAATTTGGTGAACCTAAGGAGAGGTTAATTAAGGCTAGCAGAAACAAAGAGGGTAAGGGCAAGGCCTACTGCAGCAGCTCCCTCCAACCTCTCAAATTTCCAGCAACTGGAAACAAAAGAATGACTGCAGCAAGAGAGGTGATGAGTGCAGAGGAAGGGAGAAAGCAACATTATCATGTTCCCTTGTTCTGTACTTAAGCCATCTCCTAGCAAGGCTAAGCAATGCAATCTGCACAGGGAATTTGTGGATGCAAACACTTTTGAGCCACAATGACTTTCAACAAATGGTGTTGATTTGCCAATTAGTAAGAAGATAAACATTTGACAGGTGAAATGTATTTTTATATTGTTAATTGAGTTGCACAAAACAGACTGGCCAAAGTAGTATACTCTCTCTTTCTGTCCAGGGCTGGAGTTGAATCCTTTCATTTCTGGCTTCCTTAAACACTAAAACCAGACTGAGAATCAAAGAACTGCATCCTATAGTGTAGGGTCCTAGTGCTTAAACTGTTTTTCCTTCAAAACTTCAATCCATTTACCTCAGATCAAACGTATGTGCTACTTGCATCTTCTCATCATACGCAATAAAAACCCTTACAGAAATCTGGGGGGGGGGGGAATTCAGAGAATGATCCAGCACTGTCTAGTGCAGGTTGCCCTCTTCAGAAATACTCAGTCTTGCCAACTATTTAAAGGAGGGATGCTGTACTATTACACAGATAGCAGACCTCATTGAGGCATCAATTTTTCAATTCCTCTTTCCTTGGGGATACAAGTTAGAATAGACTGAAATATGTACAGCAGTACTTGCAGAAATAGCCGAAAGTCCATGTTGAAGACAAAATATCCCAAACTCCCACAAGTTTTGTAATACTAAACTCTTTTAGCCCTTGTGTCTGAACAACCAAATAGCAAAACACACTAAAAATCACACTTGTAGACCACATCAGTTAGTGGCAGAAGCCCAGACTCACCACTGCACGTTTTAGAGAGGGCTGCTTTGGACTAGCACCTGCAGACTCCAGAGGGGCACCAACAGGAGGGGTGGATCAGCACAACAGCTTTTCCAGGGGCAGACTGCCAAGGACACTGCATAAGGTGTTATCCCTATGTTTCACCCTCCTATTTATGTTACTGTAAACTTCATCACTTACCTATTAGTCTTTCACTCCAAGCCCACTACTATGACAATTAAGAGGGAAATCAGAAGAGTTAATTAGTTTATAGCTCGTTCACCACTGCTTCAGTATCATCAGCTTTCTGACTTCAGTTTATTTGATTTACTAGGTCATGATGCAGGATTAGTACCCACTTTGAAAATTATATTTGTAAAGTCCCAAATCAAGAAAACATAAAAATACCATGGGAATCATGTAGCATTTACTTGTTCTTCAAGACTTTAAAGCCACTTTTATAATTTTGGGAGACCTGGTTCATTTTCCCCCTACTGCTTTAGAGAAAAGGTAACAGGACAAAAGTGTCTTGATCTATAGCAACAAAGCAGAAGTTAAAAACAGAAGGCTCTGCTGTCCTTTTCCAGTCTTAAGATTAATTGCATTTTCATAAAGATTTTTATGCTTCATTCACCCTACATCCCTTTTCCTTACCTTCTCATCCTGAGAGCTTTAATGACTCATTCTTACTAATTTAGCCCTGCCACCTTTCTTTTGGTGCATATTTCAATACTTGCTGTACTATAAGAGAATCTTCACTAGCCAATTTGATTAGTCATAGCCTCATCTTTGCTTACCATGCTATTTTCATACTTTTAGTCACCTGGAATATATTCCTCACTCTGGGTCATGCTAAGGTGCTTTGTGTCAGAAATCCTGAACAAGGCATACTTTATTTGTAAAATGCTGGAATGGCCTAGAATTAACCAAATGCTGCAAGCACTCAGCTATATACTTTATTTTAACTTTACTAACAACTTTAAAGCCAGCTGCATTAACTCCCTGAACTGTCCCTTTCAGTAAAATATATACCTCAGAAAGTGCAGATCTACTCCAGCAGCACATACAGGACCACAAGAGAAGCTCCACCATCCTCTAAGTCTCCATTTCTCTACTACCACATCACATACAAACAACATTTGCTCCCTCAAATCTCCCCATCACTTTCGGGAAAAGTGCTCCTCAGGACTCCCCTCCTCCCAGAGTACTCCAAACCTGTTTCAGAACATACACACACTTTTTTCTTTTTCTTTTTTTCTGTAATGGTGAAGTTCCTTTTCTAAGAAAAATCTCAATTTGTAAACTTAACCTGCAAATTTCATTAAAAGGTTAGAGGCTCATTCTAGTCATTACTTAAGATGTAAGCAATGATGAAAACACAATGTTAATCTCTGCAGTATGTTACTCCCTCTCACCCCCCCCCAAAAAAAAAAACAACCACAAACTTAATAATATTGTGTTATACAAAGAAATAGCCACACACCATTTACCTAGCCATTCTGTTTTAAAGTTTCTGAGAAAAGGCTGAAGGGATGGAAGTATCTCACAGGTTTATTACATTTGTCAAATGGCAAAGTGTCACATCCCTAAGATAGTTGTGCCTGTTTTAATTGCTTGTTAGCTAAGCCAACCTGCCTTCAGCTGCAAAAAGATTTTTATTGCAATTAATATAGGCATGGTTACTTAAAGCCAAAAAAAATATATATATATTACCCTACCATCTTCATTTACAGAGTGTGCTATCTCCTCAATTACAATATACCAGAGAGATTTGATCACAATTAATCTAAAAAGACTACTCATAGAAAAGGGCCCAGTTATGATCTGATTGAAGTAGTCTAAAATCCTTGGGCCAAATTAAAATATCTCCTAAAGCATCAATTGAGTTAACATAGTTTTTATCTTTCTCCTTACCCTCCACTGCTTTTTTTTTTTTTACTCCAACATATTACTTTTAAAAATAATTTTATCTTGGGGTTTGCCCTCCAAAAGATAAGCTGTCATTGAATAATATATTTACATACTAAAGCACAAAACACAGACTATTGCAAAATGTCTGGGAACTCACTATAATTTTCATATAGCCATTATAAAGTGAATATAGACTACAAATCTTTGCAAACTGAATTCTGAGTTGAGTTTTACTCCATATCCCACTGAATTGAGCAGGGTGTATTTGTAAATCAGTTATGATGACGCTTGGCCCAAGGAGGTAAAGAATAAGGATTAAGTCCTGGTCTCACTCAAGTTAATGGCAAGGTTCTTCTTCAGTTGGTTCAGGATTTCACCCTAAGTAATATGGCAGAATTTTAGCCTCTGTTTGAAGAGAAAATGAATTAACTGTCACATGCCAGACAGATGAACATGAAGCAAATTAATCTGTAACCAGAAAACAAGCCACAGGGAACACAGCCATCACACACAGCTCCATACATCACGAGACATTCTGTTCAGTATGAAAGCAATGAAGGTGCCTCTTCCTCCTCCCAGTTCCATAATCTAGAAGCCTCCTTTGAACCAGCTTCAGGAGACATCTCTGCTGCCAACTTCTTTTCCGTGAAGGAAATATAACTGAGACACCTCCCTAATTCGAGATTAATTAGCAGGCTATCCTGCATACTCACAATACGTGTGACATGGAGAAGTGGGTTCTGGCATAGGTCCAACCCAAAGTGCAAGAAGCTAAGTGAAAAATTATCACCAGTAATAAAAACAGTTAGGGTAATGTAGCTTTTCAAAAAGGGAAAACATTTAATTTTCACTTTACATTTTTCTTCAAAACAAATGGATATTTTGAACGTGAAAAAATACTAGAACAGGTTGAAAAATGAGCAAATCTTAGTAAGAAACTTTAAAAAAAGTTGTGCGCTATTCAAACTTCGGAAAAAAAAAAGGTCCAAAATTTGTCAATTCACTTTGGATGACATTTCAAATAGTTTTAAATAGCTAACTCACATACCTCTGAATAGTCTGTCCTGGAATACTATAAATCAGAAACTGCTTCCAATGCAGTTAACAAAGATGAAAATCGCTTTAAACCTGTATACCAGTCTGGCAGGGCAATAAGCTTCTAAGAGTAGAGTGAATGCCACAGAATTAACTCTTATTTATGGGACTTCTAAAAGTGAAAACTAAAGTTCAACAACTGGCCATAAAGTATCAGTGAAACCTATTAATCAGCAGCATGTGGTGAAGGGGGCTGCAGAGCAAGCAATGCTCTGTGAGGCTTTATTTTGCTTGGTTTTCACTTGTTTTGCTGTTTCATTTCCACGTGCATCAAAACTTGACCTATACTAAGCATTATTTAAATAGATGTAATTCCATTCTCTCTCTGTTGGCCTTAACATTCCTGCAAACTAAGGAAAATAAATGTGGGATCAGGGACATTATTATGACAACTCCCACATTCCATTAAATTCTCTTGGGAAAATATAAAGTGTGATAAGACAAATGGAATTAAGAAAATGGTCTAAAAACCAGAAAGTGATTAAAAGTAAATGGTACAGCAAATAGGCACCCCGTGAAACCCATCAGCATTTATCGGACAGCCTACTGCAACCAGTATCAGGGGAAAGGTGAGCAGTCTCACACTGCTGATTCACCAGACATTTCAGCCCCCCTGCACACCATACGGGCAGTGAGAGTGGAAGGTGAGATCAGGCTTTAGTCAGCAGAAACCTGCCTTGCCACACCATGGCCTTCACTGTTTGGCAGTGGGTGCGGAGCTGGGAGCATCCCAGGAGCAGGACCCAGCTCTATCCCTTTGTTCTTGCTGAGACCACCCGACCTCTGGAGGATCCTACACCAGCAGCTGTAAACAGACATTATCTCCTTTGCAATTCTCAGGCAACACAAAGATCAAAAGTGGGGCAGGAAATCTGGCTGGGGGGCTCTTGTTCACGCTTAACATGTCATTTTCCTTCCTTTCTTTTCTTTTTTTCTTTTTTTTCTTTTAACTATGACAGGATTTTGAGGACTGGAGACACATCCAAATAGTGTCAGAAAAAGGAAATGTTTTGATTACAGTTAGTTATCTGGCACTATCTATTTAGAAATGTCTGAACAAATAGCTCCATTGTCAGATGCTCTAGTTCTGGCACAGTGAAGAAATACGATTAGATCTGGCTGCCCAGATGTCCCAACATTGAGAATAATATTTTTAAGCACGAACTCATGCACTGCTGCTGTCATGTACTTCAACAGACTTATTTTGTTCTCATGGGCTATAATTGTAATAAAATTGAATGAGATTAATGGTTATAACTGGCCTCTCTTCTCTCATATATTATTTCAATAGAAACATGACTCCACAGCTACAGACCTGAGCTCCTCTCCCCTTGCCAGCCTGCAGTCTCTGGTCATTCTACCCTTGCAGGACTATCCAGAAATAAAGGCCCCCAGTTTCTATTTCTTTCCACTTCTTCAATGGCACTTTTCCTACTGCCATATCTACTTATATCCATATAAACATACTTTTATATATAAATATATATTATATATAAATATGCAAACCTATAAGTTTCTTCATATCGTCATTTTTTTAATGCTTTCATTCCTTTTCATTTCTAGGAACACTGAGATGGCACAGCTCCTATCATATAGTTCTGGCTTTTTTCCAGTTACCTGTGTGCTGGTATTTTGTTTCAGGCAAAACTATGAGTACTGGTTATGTTCGTGTTGTTGCATTTATGAAGTTCTCTCTTTTATTTACAAAAGCAAGTGCTTGGATGTGACAAAATAGATAATTTACTTTTTTCTGATTTAAGGAAGATATCTTTCTCTAAAAAAAAAAAACAGTTGAAGATATCTGTTTTTCTGAATGGCTATTTGAATGGCTATACTTTTTTATTCATTAAAAGCAGAAGCAAACTCAAGACACGTCACTGGGGTGTCTCATTTCTGCCTGTGCTATTTAGACCTGGCTTTCAGCTTGATGCACCCATCAGAAATGAACACCAATAAAACAGTTTTGACAGTAGGTGAGTGAAGCTCTCCAGTAAAAAGTTTCAGGCAGATTGCTTTTTCCTGAAATGAATATGCAAAACGCTGCTTTTGCTTTCTCTTTAAAATTGTTCACAGGGGTCTCATTATTTGCACAGAGGTTTATATAATTGCACCCACTCGCACGATTTCAAAAACTGTTTTTTGTCTGCATGTATAAAAAAGATGAAAATAAATATTTTAATCTTTTTTTTTTCTTAATGTCTAGCAAGAAAGTTCAATTACATCCTCTCTACTTATGAAAATCATACAAAAGCTTCAAGTCTCAGCATGTTCCAGCAGTAAAGTGCAAACAATCTTGTGGTTACAAAGGCTACTTTGCTGAACCTCATTCCGTCTTCTCTCTCTCCCACCAGCTGAATAAATGAGAGACATATTTAGCAGCTTCAGTAGAAACTATTTTCTCATGCTCCCACTAAAAAATCAGGGCAAGAAATGACAATAAGTCACAGGATTGGAGCAAAGTGTGTAGAGTAAGAAGTAAATCAGAATTGATAACAGAGGATGACATAAAAGGGGAGAGGGGAAACAAAAACAAACCCTAAATTCAGGCAGCAGATGAAAACTGAGAAGCATATATGGAGCAGGCAACGAGATGGCAGGGCATTAAAGAAATTAACGTACTACAATATCTTTAAGTCAGATTCTTTTCATTCATAATCATAATAGAGGAACAGACAGTAATGGCAATAATAGATATTTTTAAATTAGTTCAATTTTTCCATTATTCTGGATTTTTGGTCCAATACATGGCAACACAGCATAGAGAGAAAACTACAAAAAAGAAAAAAAAAAGCAAGCCATGGTACTCTAACCCAGGCACTGACTTGATTAGGAAAAGTCACTTTTCATTAACAAAAGTTACTAAAATCTCACAGTAGAGCACTGTATTTATTCTGATGTTTTGGTTCAGGTTCATACCTAAACAAGATAAACCTTTGCAAAGCAGTCCCAAGTGCAGTCTGTGCCAGCAGCACCTTGCAGCTTCAGGAGGATGACCAAGTTTTGTGGCAACTGCTTCAGGGTGTGCAATTTCTGGAAGTCATTGGTTAACTTCCTATCAAACAGCTTTACACATTTGCAAGAATGAAAAGTCAAAACTAACATCACCCCAAAACAGCCCCCAGCAACTGCTATCCAGATGGGTGCTGTTATTTGCTGTGTGGCCCAAGGAGTCTCCTCAGCCCCTCCCCAGCAGCAGATTGCTTTCTGGTATTTGCGCTTTCTGTTCCCAAGGAAGAAAACAACATCTAGTATGTTTTGAATTAGAATGACTAAATTAGAATGACTGAAGT